TATCGATACGCATTTTCCGCCATATTCGTTGCTACTACTGTTTAACGAGTTGATCGTCATCCCGTGGTCAGCAGTGGCGCCCCATTGGCGTAAAACTCTGTGTAGTGATTGCCAATCAAAGGGCTTCCACTACCGAGTACAGAATGAAGACGAGCATAAGGAAAGGGCCACGCGACTAAGGCCGTCCACATCAGATTCGGATCTGTTTAACATGCGGCTTCTAGAGTTAGTCCGAAAACGGGATAATAAGTGCGCGCCCTCTCCCTTTCACTCCAAACGTAGAGCCGTGGCTCGGTGGGAGGTTCGACAGTATTTTCAGGATTGAATTCGAACTTCTTCGCGTTGCGAATTCCACGCGAGCTTCTTCGTAACCCGCGTTGCAGCTAACCGGTTAGCTTACTTCATGAGACCAACACGGGGGATTTCAGTTATGTCTATGTCCCCACACTCAATTTCCCAAAAATCTTTGGCACACCCCATCTTGCAGTTTTTCAGGGCTTCTTTCCGCACCCTTAAACCACCAGTCCCTGGCCCAGCTATCAAGTCCGAGCTTTGGCCGTCTGCTACGCCGAGCCATGCCGAGGCTCGGACTACAGGGCGCAGGCATCCCGAATGTCGGCCTGAAAGCTATGAAAACAAACGGAAAAAAAAAAACGAAATGAAAAAAAAAAAGAAAAACGAACAGGTTCATTCCCTCTTTGCGTCGGAAAAGCAAAGCGGGAATGAATGCTCCCGCTTTGGCACACACACAGAGAGAGAGAGAGAGAGAGAGAGAGAGAGAGAGAGAGAGAGAGAGAGAGAGAGAGAGAGAGAGAGNGAGAGAGAGAGAGAGAGAGAGAGAGAGAGAGAGAGAGAGAGAGAGAGTGAAAAGAAAATGCTTCCTCGGCTTGAAACATGCATATAACCGAGGGATCGATTCGTGGCTCGAGTTTAAGGTGCCAGTGCGACGTGTGGTTCGACTGATGATGTCGTGCAGCATAAGGTAGATGGCATGCGCAACACATTCAGAGATACAGATCTAAACACTCTTGCATTCTCGAACAAAATCCCGATGACAATCGTCTAATCAACACGAAAAAGAGTCACATATTTCCATACATGCATTCACTGTGGAAGGTGCGAAAATGAGACATGCACCGGAAAAGATGGGTTGCATTGCACAATACACACACATCCACCGTTCACAAGACAAGAAGGCGGGGACCTTGCGTAGGAGGATTACCCAGGAAACTAATGGAAGAGTTCCGGAGGAAGTTCTTTTACGCAAGGGAAGCGCACCGATTCGCTCCTAGTCAGGAGAGAAAGCGAGAGACAATCAATTGAGACACATCATTATTTAAAAGTAGAGAAAAGAGAGGGGGGGGAGAGACAAAGAGAGAGAGAGAGAGATAGGTGATGACCAGATCTGGAAGAGAGACATTCGACATGACCGCCATGCACTCACGCCCAAGATAAAGATCCGCAACAACAAAGGCGCATTCGCCGTTAATTCCAATATGGCCCAGGCCAATCACTTACTCAACTCAAATCATCGATCCTCATACCCGCACCGACGATCCCAGCCGCCGCGTGCTAACTCCCACCATTGCGATAATCACCCCGCTGTCGTAAACTCGACGCGGTTCGCCCAGATCCCACAGTCCGTTGTGGCGATCTGGCGCGCAACCGGCCAGCCTATCGTCAGCCCGACAGGACTTTCCGACTCGCATCAACACACTCTGCCTAGCCACTACTTCCCGGAAGCTCGCTTAGGAGTCGGGAACGTAAGAGAGATTTGCGGGCGCGCTTGCAGGTTTTATAGTTGCGAGAAAGGAGATAGAAGGGGGAGAGAACGACGGGGAGGCGGGGGTGTAGGAGAAGAAGGAGGAGAAGACTTTGAGAAGAGCGCTCCAAGAACGCCATGTTGATCCCTCGGAACTCAAGGTTCAACCAATCAGATTCGTCGCGCGATAGGTAGGTCCTATCGATCCACGCACCTGATTGGCGAGCGGGAGTTATCGGGGGATCGACCGGTCGTCGTACGCCAGACTCAGAGGGTGAGAAGAGAAAAGGCGCGAGAGGTGGCGCAAGACGGGTCCAAGATTCAGACGATCAAGAAAGGGAAATGGGTGCGCAAACAGCGAGACGGGGGAGGGGGAGAGAGAAAGAAACAGTTACGGGGAGAGAGAAAGAGGAGGGAGAAGGAAAGGGAGCGTGGGAGGGAGCGATACAGGGGGCCAGAGGGGAGGAAGCTTTTGCATGCATGGCGCCGTCAACAAAAAAAAGAGAAAAAGGAACCGAAACAGTTACAGCTTGCTTCTATCCTAATGCAAAATTGAAATCACCATATCTGCGCGCGAAAAAGCGACGCGGGAAACGAAAAATCCTACGCCTATTCGTATTCACGCAAAATTTCGAGAGTTTTCCCCGACGCACCCAAGAACATTCACACCCTCGAAAAGGACACGTCGGAGCTCCGCTTATTCCGGAATTCCCAACTGCTGAGCCCAATTCCCAGTGCGCTCGCTAAGGCGCACATAAATTCCCATGTATTTCCCGACTTTGCAAAAAGAAAAACAGAACCCAGCAGTAAAAAAACCTCTAAAAAAAAAAGGAAAATGCGGTACCCGAGAGCAAGAAATCAAAACGGGGCTTTCCTGGGGTTGGTATGATACAAGCAAAAGAAGGGGGTACGAAAGATGGCACGGGGTCGGGAAGTGGTTCGTCACATGCTTGCTGGCGGACTGCCAGTGCTTCACGGCATGGCTCTGAGCTGTTTGGCGGCATAGGAGCTGGGGAGACGCATGACACGAAGACGACAATTGTGGGTGGTGGAGCGCCGTGGAGGTCTTTGGAAGGACCTGCAGCGACAGGGAGCAGAGCACGAGAAGGTGTTCTTGCGGTTCTGCAGACTCCCACGGCCGTTGTTCTTCGAAGTTCTCCAACGAATTGGGCCGCATATCCAGAGTTCACCGACGAATTTTCGGTTGCCCATTCCTGCCGGTCAGAAGTTTGCCTGTGCATTGATGATGTGGGCAACATGCGGCTACTACAGGCAATCCGGCCACAGTTTGGGTATAGGCCTCGCTAGTGCGTTGCGAAGCAATGAAGACGTGGCTGATGCTATCATCCATGAGTACGGCCATTTCCTGCAGTTTCCGACACGACGTTGTCGTGAAGATGTGCAAAACGCTTTCGAGGCGAAGGGGTTTGCAGGGTGCGTGGGGGCATGCGTGAGGGCAATCGACTGCATGCACATCTACATCGACAAGCCTGAAGGGAACCCGTTTCAAGTGCTACTACCATCACACTGAAGACTTTTCTGTGATCGCGCAGGTTGTTTGCGACCATGAGTGCAGAATAGTCAGTGCGTTTGTCGGTTGTCCTGGGTCTGTACATGACTCGCGTGTTCTGCGGATGCCACCCTTGTACTGCAACACTAGGAATGGGAGAGGTGTGCTCAGCGATGGAGGAGCTATTCTCCATGGCGGCACCCATGTGAGGCGCTATCTATTGGGAGATGCAGCATACCCCCTTCTGCCATGGATCATGACACCCACAGGCAGATTTGGGAGAACGTTAGCGGACTGGACCTGTGATGAGTGCCACACAACGGCGAGGTCTTATATGGAGCGCACTTTTGGCGTCTGAAGAGCGTGTGGAGGAATTTCATCCACATACACATCGCTAACTTGGAAACCCTGCACAAGGAATTAATGGTCGTGTGCATTTTGCACAACCTCATGATTGAACACATGGTGGAAATCAACCCTGCCGACATGGGAGATGACAGCGACAGCGACGGTCGGGGCCTACCTCCCAACAGTCGTCGCCGGCGCGGCCGCTGGCAGCGAGTGCAACGCAGGATACGTGACCTGGACGTCAAAGTTCTGGCTGACGACGACACCACTTACGGCACAGATCTAGGAAAGTGGGTCAGGGTTAGCTTTTTTTTTTTTTTTTTAACTTGCCTTTTTTTTTTTTTTTTTTTTTTTTTTTTGAAGTCCGCGGTGTTGTAGAGGCTAGTCTCCTGTCTCTTATACACATCTAGATGTGTATAAGAGACAGGGCCTATAGCGGCCAACGTGCGCAGGCCGAGCGCGCGCACGGATTTTCAGCGCGCACCCCCGCCTGGGCGTGGCTCGGCCGCGCGGCCTCGGCCACAGGCCTGCGGCCTCGGAGGTCGGCCGCGGACTAGGATCCTGCGGCCACGGCCGAGGGTGTCACGTAGGCCCTAAGGCTCAGGCTTTGGTGCACCTCGTGTGAGTGTGCCCTGAGGGCATACTCACACTATCATTATCGTACCTGTATATGCCCCAATTCCACCCACAAATAATTAAAAAAGTGCTAGTGTGAGTATGCCCTGAGAAAGGTATGCTGTGGCAAGGCCCAATGTGTGCGGTGATCTCAGAGAAAACGCTCTTTGGTGACTGGGGCGGCGGGTACCGAGGAGCCATGCAGCACTCACCAAAACTGGGCTGGGTGAGGTGAGGAGCGCAACCAGGCTCAGATGGGGTACAAGTGCGGCACAGAGGGCTCGCTCCCCTAAGAGACAAAAAGAATTTTGCAATGTATCTGCCCATGTTCTAGCCGATATTCATTATCATTTATTTGGGGAGTATTATAGCGATTCCCATAGAATAGCCTTAGGAGTAGTGGTAGGTTCTGAAAAAGAAAGATAGGTTCCATGACATGGCAGAAAAAAAAAAAGAAAAACAACGATCTCAAATCTTAGATCATCTTTGAAAGATTTGAGAGGTCCAAAAAAGTCCTTGGGGATGGCGAAGGTTGTCGACTTGCGTTCCGGAGGAGATCATGAACCGGTCCCACGCGACTCTGCTGTGGGATCCAAGCCTAGGCCTCGAACGCACTACCGGCGCCGCTGGCGGCGCTCCCTCCGTTTCTCTTTTTTTTTCTTTTTTTTTTTCCTACCAAGCCAGTTCGTTCTGTTTTTTGTTTTGACACGTTTAACTTTTGCTAACCCTTACCTAGGAGCCAAATTTAGCACTCTCGATGGTCTCGCGGAATCCATGTTTGTCGAGTGTGGTAGAGCGCTCTCCAACTCCATGCTTGTCGACTGCAGTAGACCGCGCCCCATCGCCGTGGATATGGCGAAGGGGCTGCGTCTGCGCACGTGTTCCACCGGCATAGTCGTTTTTTGCTCGTTCTTGTTGCTGCTGGTGGGAGATGGGTGCTTGCGTTTGATCGATGGTAGCACGCCACGCGGCGGCCAGAAGTTGAAAGCAGGAGCCTGTAGAGGAGAGGAGAATGCCACCACGTCTTACACGCCATCGCTGGCGATGGCGAAGGTTGTCGACTTGCGTTCCGGAGGAGATCATGAACCGGTCCCACGCGACTCTGCTGGCGGTTTGGAAGCAAGGTCGCTGGCTGACGTGGGAGAACGTGTGTTTGTTGAAGATCGGGATCTGTTCCCAAGTGGCAGCGCGTCTATTGTTATCGCGTTTCCGGGACAGTCGCCGTTCGAGACGGTCTCGAATGGCACTTTGTTGTGCACATCAAGCATCACGAGCCTTGTCGGGCAAGACGACTCGCCAATTTTTTACTTCATTCTTGACGAGCTATGCCGGGATGAAGCCCTCGGAGAGTACACGGAACACCGCATGTCAATCAGGAAGGCAGTAGTCGGAGGGTCTCCCTCAGGAGGAGATGGGGGACTCCTTAGCTATTGGTGGGAGCATCTGAACGGCACTGGGGATGCGGTGTTGACTCCCACAGTAATTAATCCAGACAGGGGGATGGCTATGGCGAACTTGTACTCCATCGACCTGACGCTATCGGGATCGCACCTGATCTTGGCCGCGACAGCTGATTCTGTAGCACTGAAGTCAAGGATGATTTTCGTAAATGTTACTACCGGTGGGCGGGAGTCTGTGAGAACGGCATGGGACAATCTGTACACCATCGCTTTCAATGCGAACAAGAGTCGTCTGTTTGCAGCGGATGAAATGGATCCTCGTCGTATCCTCGCTGCCTCGACGGAGACGGGAGTGGAGGCCATCTCCACGAACGGAGAGATGACACTCCAGACGTTCCGCGAGTTCCCGTTGAGGTTACCTCCGAACATAAGCTTCATACAGTTCTCCACGCAGAGCTTCGATCCTCAGGACAGGTGTCTCTACTTCCCCGACTTCGAGAACAACATGTTGCGGAGCTTGAATCTGTCGAACCCTCAGGCGAATCTCACCCATGTCGCCGGATCCGGCGAGACCGGACAGCAAGAAGGAGACGCCTTCAGCGCGTCACTCAACGGTTTGTCTGAGCCGGTTGTTACGCGTGATGGATGTAATGTGTTCTCTGTGCAGGTGGATGGAGTGCATCGCTGGTTCAAGCTGGAGGCACCGTGTGGCAAAGCGGTGAGCGTCAGCACTGTAGCGAGGTATACAGGTGTGGGTTGGGAGGGATTGGCGCTCCATCACGTGGGCGACAACGCTAGCCTGCTTGTCGGCTCGAAAGACGGCAAAGTGTTAAAGCTGGACATCAACAGCAGCGCTTTGCATGTCTGCAAGCCTTTTGGTTACGCCGAGGACCCCACGCCCCCCTCCTCCGCTTCTACTCCAAGCCCTTCTCCACCTGCCCCCGAAGGCAATGATCCTTCCCTACTCGACTCTTTCCCCTCCCCCGACGTCTCTTCGGCAGCTAGAGATAGTACTTCAGATCACAAGTGGGCTGTTTACGTTGGTCCGGTCGTAGGTGCGTTCATCTTTCTGGTAATCGTCGTGGCAGCGGTTTGCACCATCTGTCCGCAGCGGCGGCAGACGCTTGGCCTTGTGAAATCGAAGGGTGGAACGTCTTCCCTCACCCTCGGTTCGTCATTTGGCCCTGGCGTCAGCGTGGACAGCGGACTTAAACCCACGGCTGTTCAAGAGTTTCCGCTGGCGGTGCTGGTGCACTCTACAGAGAATTTCGATGACCAGTACAGGATTGGCGAGAAGGGAGCGTTCGGAGAGGTTTACTGGGGAGACATTGGAAACAAGAGAGTCGCAATCAAAGTCATGATCGGTGAGCTGACGGCGGTGAAGCGCCAGCAGTTCCTGGCTGAAGTCAACACTCTGAGCCGCCTGCATCACGGCAATTTGATCGAGCTCATCGGCTACTGCCAGGAGGGAAAGAGATCCATCTTGGTCTATTCTCTCTTCTCAGGCGGCAGCTTGCACCACAGGTTGCATAAGCGGCATAAGGTTGGCGAGAAGGAGAGGTTGCCGGCACTAACGCTGAGCGAGAGGGCATCCGTCGCATGCCAGATAGCGAATGCGCTGTCCTACCTTCACCACGGTGCGGACCCGCCCGTCATTCATCGGGATATCAAGAGCCGTAATGTGCTCTTGTCTGACGGAAGCGGAGCGAGTCTCCGAACAGTTGTGGCCGATTTCGGACTGGCAACAATTGGACAGAGCATCTTCGAAACAACATTCGAAAGCGTGGTGGAGACGTGCCACGTGGCAGGCACGCAAGGGTATATGGCGCCGGAGTACTTGACTATGGGGAGATTGACCGCGAAGGTTGGCGTCTACGCCTACGGTGTGATAGTCCTCGAGCTTTTGACCGGTAGGAACTCGGTGTTTCCTCGACAACCGCCGTCGGTCAATGGCGAGTGGATGACGCTTCCGCAGTGGGTAAGGACGTACACTCATCTTTCGCAATTCGATCTGCTGATGACGGTCCTCGACGAACCTCTGCGGGAGGAGGTGGAGAGCAGCCTGGCGAATCAGCATATGGTAATGGATATAATCTCGTTGGCAATGGACTGCGTGCAAGAAGCAGATGCAATGAGGCCAAACATGAGCACCGTGTTGCAGAGGATTTCCACTGTAGTCGCGGATGCGGGAACCGACTACCTCAAGTGATCGAAGATGATGAACATGG